CTTCTGGTAACTCTTCACTGTCCAGATTGAATGTGTGAAAGCAACACAACACCAGCTATGCCAGTCCCCATCTCTTGTTAGTCTGCTTGGCCAGCTGGGACAAGTTAGTTTCAACAGCTGTAACTCAGGTAAATCAGTCAGTAAATCAGTAGTAAGTGAGTAAATCTTTGCTGGCATCACTCTAGTACTACCAGTCCTCCACTGCTTTCCTGCAATGGCTTTTCAGTGCTGAGCAAGGACAGGCAAGTCACTTTCCTGGGAAGGGACAAGCAGCATGGGTGAGCTCACTACACTGAGCAGAGGGATGCGATAAACCCTCCATGAACCTCACCTGAGGAAATGTCTTCTGGGTTCAGCTGTTGCATCTCTTTGGCTTTGCCAAGCAAAAGAAATAATTCACATTAGGCATATAGTTTTGCAATGAAAACCTCAGGGTGTGAACTCTTTGAAGTTTCTGGCAGGTGGAGAAACAACACGAGGTGTGTGCCTATGCTGACTGCCAGCAACCGGATCCCAGCTCTTCACCTGCCAATGGGATTAATGCACGAGAGAGGTCCCCCCTCATCTCCAGCTTCCATCTTCTTCCCCTGGAGTTCATTTGTGGCATAATATCCCATTTGCAACTGCACTCATCGTCCGTCTGCGGGCCCCAAGCTCTAAATAGAACAGGCTCAGATAGTTTGTCTCACTGCACTGTACAGTCTTTCACTATTGGTGGAGGAACATGCTGTTCAGCAACAAGTTCAAAGATCTGCTGCTGGTTTGCCTTTAATCTTCTGTTTTGCTTTTGGAATATGCAATCAAAAAACTGGAAGTGTTTTTCCTGGCTTACGATCCTTAACATGATCATGCTGTCCATCTTTTTGTATGTTTCCATGGTATTTAATTGCACTAATGGATGCTCATGTTGTAATCCTTTGGTCACAGACTCTGGTGCCTCCTTTTTCTGAGCTCTGTCCCTAGAGGATCACAGAATTACAGAATATTCTGAGTTGGAAAAGTGTTCCCCTGCTGTGGCACAGACCTGTAGCTCTGGGACTTTGCCTTGTAATTGAAGCTGTAAATTTCTGAGTCCTCTGTTCAAGGCACAAAGTCAGTCAAGAGGCAAGCAGAACTTCTCTGAGGGGGTGAATGACACTGGAATCACATTTAGAAACTGGGCACAAAACCTCTGATGTCTAGAAGGAGTGGTAACTATGGATTGTGTGGTTCCTTGCTCTAGTTTACATAAGCAATTAGCTAATTTTAGCTCTCAGTTCTGGCAAATCTGTCGGAAATAACACCAGGAACAAATGTGTTTATTTTTTTAAAAGCAAAGTCTTCTCAAACTCCTAGTGAGGTGCACCTAGGATTAGCTGCCACACAGAGAGATTAGGAGAGCATCCATCTGCTTCCAGCCAAAACCAGTTGCCCTTTAACATCCAGCTTCCTAATCCCACCTAAGTGCCCTCTACACTCCTCCACATGGTGTTTGCCTACCCCAAGACCACAGCTCAGTACAGAGCCATTCTATGGGTGAAGACACGATTCTCCCTGCATTCCCCAGATCTGGGGGGAGTCTGTCCCCCCACGAGTGCTGATGGCTCCAGCCAGCCAGGTGGCATGGCCGTCCCAGCCATGCTGCTGGCACACAGCCCTCCCCATCCATCCCCATGCCACAGGGGGCTGCCTTACCTTTATCCCCATTAATAGGCACAGAAGTAGCTCTGTGTGGTGGATACAGCCTTGTACGTTTGAACATGTGAGCAGAGCTGATGAACTCTGCTTCAAAACATGGATTAAGGGCATGTTTCTTCTCCCCAGGAGCTGCCGTTCTGTGGCATTTGTTCTATAAACCTAGATAAAAATCTTGTTCGTACTTTTCAAGTTTGTATTTACAAAGGGTTGAAAAATATGCATAATGACAGTTTAATTAATGTATTCCATTAATCCTGGAGATAATCAAAACCCTGATAAGCCTCTAATCTTATAAAAAAGGATTAGAAAGCACTGAAACATCTTTTGCTATCTGTGAACCTTGTAATGAGATGTAGCATGCTTGGAGGAGGAGCCAAGGAAAGGAGCAGTGCCAGAGGACATATTCTCAGCAGATTTCGTCACTGGATTTCTTGTGTGATATTGCTCTTGGCAGAAAGGTTGTAACTGGAGTCCAAAGCCATCAACATTGTTTTCAAAATTAGTTATTCTAATAATTTGGGGATAAAAAGTAGGAGAGCTTTAGCTTCTCTAACGTCTTCTAAGTATCATGCATTTAAAGTACTAATTTGATTTTAATGCTTGCAGACCTTACTAATTTCTTCAAAGTTAATCCTGCATGTGTGAAAATCATGCCAGTATTCTGGCATGTAACCATTGCCAGAATATCTATTTTTCAAGAATAAAAAATGAGTATAAGCAAATATTTCAAAGGCGTTTAAAAAAGCAATAATAGAGCCAACTTCAGAGAACTATTTTTTTGACGTCTGTAAAAATTCTTGTTTCAGTGCTGTCTATAGCTTTACACTTTTACGCTTAAAGTGTGGTTTATGTGTTGTCAGTTATTACCAATAAGTGTCAATGAAACAACTTTGAAGGATATGGTGACTAACAGACATTGTCAAGAATTCGAGGTGCTCAAAAAAAAGTGAAAAAGTGCTCATTCTTTAAAACTTGAATTCAGAGCAAAAACATAATGCACAGGGCAAAATGTCCTAATAACTGCTGCTCCTGCAGGGACCTGGGAACCAGCTGGAGCTGGTGGGAAGCATGTTGGGAAGGAATAATAATAAGTATTGCTTCTCTTCCTCTTCAGAGACCCAAGGAAAACTGAATTTGTCCCTTGGAAAGGAGGCTGGGGGCAGCAGTCTGCTCAGGGGGGGAGAGTTAAGGCTGGGTGAGAATTTTTGTCTGGCTCCCAAAAGATACTGAACCAATAAAGGAACCAGAGCAAGACTGGGTTAAATAAACCCCTAGAGGACTGGGGATGAAATCCTGGCAGGCAGGCAGGAGGAGAGCAAAGAAAATGAGAATATTTGTGTCAGGATTGGAAATTCGTTTTTTTTTTGTTTGAGGGGGTTTTTCAGTTTGCTTTGTTTGTTTAAGGGATGACTACTGCACAGTACAAGAAGCACTAAGAAGCATGTGATGCCCCAGCCACAGGTTGGCTAGCAGCTGCATTGCTTAGTTATGCCTGTGCAAGCATGAACATCACAAGTCCCTTGAGTGGAGGGGACTTCGGGCAAGTGGAGTGGGGAAGGGGACAGAGGTGAGGTGAGGCAGTCAAGGTGCTGCAGGCCCTGTCTGTGCTCTGCTGCAGGCAGAAGTGTGGGCTGTCAAGGGGTCATTGCAGCAGTAAGGGAAAACATGCTTGGCCCTAGAGATGTCCACCCAGGGCAGCTGCCAGAAAGGGAGCACCCCGAGGTGATTTCATTCAGACCTCTCCTATCACACATGAACCACTTTTGGTAAACACTTGCAGTAGAGTTGACTCCCAATGCACTGAGACTGAAAGTCTTCAAGACCAAAGAAGTGTTCAAGACCCCGAAGATGGGGAGAACTTTTTTGCTTGTCTGAGAAGCTCTGCTATCCACTGGTCTAAGGGCAGCTGGGAGAGGGTGCAGTGAATTACCCCATGAGACACAGGAAACTGCAACAATGCCTCTGCAGGTTGAGGACAGGGATAAGGTGCTCCTATCAAACCAGTCATGAATGTAGGTAAATCAGACAAGAAATTTTTCGATCCTTCTCCAGAAAATAAGTTTTTGAAAACAGGAGATGAGCTTGGGTAAACTTATGAAACAGAAAGACAGGTCGAGGAGGTAAAGCAAAGGAGAACTTCTGCACATTTTCCTCATCTTCAGATAAAGCTGTGTGGCTATACACAAGTACAACAACTCCTGAACTTTGGCTCCTTTATTTATAAAACAATATACTAATCCTAATCCCAGGACACACTGACGTAACTGAATGTCATACTTTCCAAATATAATGGATTGTATTCCCATGATAAAATAAATACATTCCAGCAGTGAGCCCCACAGCAAATAACAGAGCTCCAACAGCTGGAGAAGCTGGGGCAAGAGGTACAACAATTGAGTTTTGTTATTGAAGCCCAAAAGCAAAGTTTTTGCTGGCAGCATTCTAGGAAAACCTATTATAAATGCAATGCTACCAAAAAAGTGCTCTTTTCTTTCTAATTCTATGCTGCATGCAAAAGCTGTTAAAAAATCTTAGGTAAGCAAATACACTCTTTTCCATATGACCTTCTCTTTGATGTTTTCAAAAATAGATTGTCTTTTTAGTTTAACACAATATTTATCAGCTTTTATTTATAGTTTAAAAGAAAGACCTCCCGCGAACTGTCACCAAAAACGCCCTTCTAAAGTCATGCTGTCAGGAGAAAGGCTTTCCTTTCCTGAGTGTCATCCTGTGCTCAAGTACATTTTACTGTAACTAAGATAGAAATGCCTCCAGCAGTCATTGCATCTTCAATCAGCTGGACACATCACTTGCCTAAGAGCCATTTTTAATCTGTATTACATGAAAATGAGGGTTAAATACAATAGATAACCAAGCAGCAATGGTTTGCTGTCATGTACGCTCTCTTTTTTCAAATTTATTTTATAAAATAAGCAGACACTAAAAACTTTAAAGAACATTTTTATTCTTATCTAATGTGTAGGGGGTAAGAGCAATATTTGCAGCAGTATGATACAACAACAGATACCCAAGTCTACATGACTTGGCATGGTTTGTTTTTTTAACTTGGAAACTGTAATGAAAGGCCATGGCACTTTACAAACTGGTTCTACTCTGTGGGTATCAAAAATGAAAAACTGAAATGTCACATAGTTAGTACAAATTCAGCATAATGTAAGCAGGCATGACCCAGGACAGATTACAGATTGCAATATGTTTAGGACCTCCTTTGCTGAGAGTTAGAGAGATTCCTATCATTTCACTGGACATCTTCAAAGGCAGCGCAGGACTTTATTCCCTTATCTGCTATTCAGTGACTTACTGAGATGGAAAGAGACAAGTATGTGCAGGTCAATAAAATGTAGTCCTCTGTAAAGTCCATATTTACTTCAGTTGTCAAACAAAGAAGGATTGTCCCATGTTTTGATCCTTGCAGGAGCTCAGCATTTAGTGTTAACACTTCAGTCAAAGCTGATATGCTTATAGTGGCTGCTGCTGAAGACCATGTATGTTTTTTGTTTTGTGACTGAATAGTATGACATACAAAAGTGAGGCCAAACCCCTGGGAGTCTGCTTTAACATGTTTTTATCCTCAGTTTGTGATAGTAGACTTCTGGGCTTTGGGAGCTGCAAAGTTCACTTACTCACAACCCAAAGGGCATTTTTGCCACATTTTGTCACTTGATGAAACAGTCTTTAAGTCAGTCTGTTGAGTTCAGCACTATCTGTTGCATCTTTGTGATGGCTCTTTTCATTTTTCTGTTTGTATTTTATGTGGAAAAATGCACCCCCTAAAATGGCACCTGAAAAACAGAGAGCATTCATCAGTAAAGGGAAGAGAAAACTTTCTAAAAAAGTGTTTCAGCAAGGGCCCTGACATCTGCACTGTAATATCCATGGTGCTTTACCTCTTGAATAGAAACAAACAGCTTTGGGGAATGACCATGAAGCCTTGGACCAATAGTATGGACCCAAGGAGCTGTTGGGCAGGATCAACTGCCCTGGGGCTCAGAGGCCTTCCCCCAGAGAAGAACCTCACCTCTAGGATCTGATCAGATGGCAAAGTGTCTATTTTGGCCTTCCTCCCTTTGAGCAGGGATTTGTCATGTTTGTCATGATAGATGACTGTCCCACTGTAACAGCGTTGGTGCAGCCTCACCTTGAGCACAATGTGCTGTTCTGGGCCTCACAACTGAAGAAGGATGTTAAGGAACGGGAATGTGCCCAGAAAACAGAAACAAAGCTGGTGAAAGAACTGGAAGGAATGTCCTATGATAAGTGGCTGAGGACTTTGGGCTTGTCTAGTTTGGAGAAAAGAAGGTTGTAAGGTGACCTCACTGCTCTCTAGAGCTCCATGAGGAGTGGGAAGAGAGGTGCTGAGCTCTTCTCCCTGGTATCCAGGGATAGGACATGTGGGAATGGTTCGAAGCTGCACCACGGGAGGTTTGGATTGGACATTAGGAAGCATTTTTTTACTGGGAGAGTGGTCAAACACTAGAAAAGGCTTCCTAGAGAGGTGTTCGATGCCCCAAATCTGTCAACGTTTAAGAGGCAATTGGACAATGCCCTTAAAAATATGCTTTAACTTTTGGTCAGCCCTGAAATGGTCAGGCAATGGGACTAGATGATCATTGTAGGTCCCTTCTAACTGAAATATTCTGTTCTATCCTAATACTAAAAAATATTTTGTCTTGTTTTGAAAAAAGTTTTAAGCTACTTGTTGAAGTTGCATCAGCTCGAGCCTGTGAGAACACAATACCATTCAGTATTATGCTTAACAATGTAACTATACTTTGTTCATGTAAATTCCCACAGTTCAGAGTAACTCTCCATATGAATAAGGTAAACCTACAAAGCTGAAATAAATGAATAAAATCATAACTATAAGCTACGGGTACAGATATTTTAAGTGTGACATCCCTGAAAACTTCAATATTGTCACTATAATCTGGGTGCCCAAGACAAGGCTCCAATCCCTTCCTTCACAAAGAAAAGGCAGTAGGTAACAATGAAGTGACAATATGCTACAAGTGCAGCAGTTTCTTCTGTCCTAGTTGATTGCTATGCCATTGTATGTTGATTAAAAAGCACAAAGAAAAGAAAGCTAATTTCTTGAGACCAAACACTTAAGTTTTCAGCAATCATGGTACACAATCATGAGATCTCCCCTCTTTCATCCTGCAGCATTCATGACAAAATTTCATCCAACAAGTGAATTAGTGTCAGAAATGCAGCAGCACCACCATATCTCAGAGATCTGGCTTCAAATCAGCCAAGAAAAGTGACTTACCAATGATGAGCAGGACAGCAATTAGAATCCCAATTGCCTGCCCAGCAGTTGGCAAGGAGTGCTGACGCTCTACTTCCACAAAGCACGACTTTTCACTTGAACACTTGCAGATGTTTACTGCAAAAAGAAATGCCATAAGGTTAATGAGAAGTTTAGTAGTTACATTTGGTTAATCATAAATATACCTGCTGTCTTGAAACTAGTAGTTCTGTGCACAGTATACCTTTAAGATGCACCTTGTTTTCCAAAGCTGGTTTTCCATTGTCATTAAGTATTATTGGAACGTTATAAATCTTCTCTTCAAAGTTAGGATGTTTTGGAGAGAGGTAAGCATGAGTAGCTGTAAGTAGGAAATGGGACATTCGTGTCAGCATAAGAAAGAAATTTATCTCAACATTCATACCAGTTGCAAATGTGCTTTTTTTAAGGTTGCTTTGCATGTGATGGTAGTTCCTGTTTTTCCCTGTCTTCCAAGGTCTCATTGGCTTGCAGACATGAATTAAAAAAGGATTATCCAAAAGCCTAGTCTGGCCTCCAGCATAATACAATCATAAAATTTCCTTCCTGATTTCTACGCCGGCCCAAATCTGACATTGGGTAGTGCAACACTGATAGCATCACATCTAAACCAAGAATAGCCCTCTATACTCATAGAGACCAATACCATCTTAAATTGTTCACAAAGTAATTTAGTAGGATGGGCCATCCTTCTAGTCCACTTACACAGTTGCATCTGAGACACTTTAAAATTTGGAAAAGCCTATAACAGCCACTGAGATCAGATCAAAGTTCTACTAATGTCAGGATCATGTTTTTAGATCAAGTGGAGATTGCGAGCATATATTTTATTTTTTTCCTTCAACAATTTTCAGCTCAGGGGCTTCTTGAGCAAGATGTAATTTCTTGCTTTGAACTTGTAGAAAATTTAGACAACATCCTGTGACAGCAAGTTCCAAAGTCAATTAGCTCCTCATTCTATCTGCACGGGAAATAACTCCACAAGCTTCATTTAAGGTTCCTGGGTTTGTATACTGGAAGAGAGGGCAAAGAATGAACCTTTGGCCACCCTGACCATAGCATTCATGATTTTATAACTCTCTATCATATTTTTTCCCTACTGTCTTCCAAGATAAAAGGTAGTAGCTTACTTTGCTGCTCCTATGCACTTTCTTATATCAGGCTACTCTATAACTCTCATTATCCTTGTTACCCTAAACCTGTTTCCAGTTATACTGCATCTTTGTGGAGATAGAGAGACTGGAATTCAATATTTGAACAAATCATGGATTTATACAAGGGCATAATGGTGTTCTCTGGTTATCTTCTCTGGTTCTTTCCTAGTAATTCTCAATATTTGATCTGCTTTTCTGAACACTGCTGATAAATTGATCTCACGTTTCCGTGAAACTGCTTACAGGTCGCCTTCCTGACTCATAATGGCCAGCTCAGCACCCATGATTTCAAAAGTGAGTTTGTGAGTCCAGGGTCCATTAGCATCTGCTATGTTGTTGTTCAGCCAACTCAGTCTTGCTAGAATGTTCTGAAATTCTTCACACTTGGTTCCTACTCCAATAACTTTGTATATTGAGTAAATTTTGGCTTCTCATAGCATACCTATATGTATTGAATTATGCAGATCCTAGCAAAAAAACCTTTGGAAAACCACACATGAATTCCCTTCATTGCAAGAGCTGACCATTTACTCCAACTCCTGAATTTTAAATTATTATTTATCCTTTCATAACTTGTCCCTTTAACACCATGGCAACCCAATTTTCTCTAGTGGGACACTTCATCAAACACATTTTATGAATTCAGGCAGGCTCTATCAGCCAAGCACTTATCCTTGCGTTTATTGCCCCCTTCAAAGAGTTCCATTTGGTGTGTGAGGCACGACTTTGTTTTGCGCAGGAAATGTCAGAAATGTACAGTTTGCAAACTGCTCTGTTTCTTTTTCATCAGTGATGTGTAGTCCTTAAGCACACAGTACATGTCATTCTTACCTGCTTCTCCTTTCACAAGTACTCATGAGATTTTAGCTTGCAACACACTACATGTCATCTCTTGAAAAAAATAATTAATGACTTAGGTGTTCTCAACAACCTAATTTTTTTTCTACACGGAATACTGGATATGCAATAACAGGAGTGAAAAGGAATTAAATATTTCTTTATATTTCCCAGAGTACTAAGAGAGTCCCATATCATTGTAAGAGTAGCTGTATTAGCTTACCATTGACTTTTGAGATTTCCCAATTATTTCTTGTATTAATATCATCCGCAAGGGAAAATGTAAATTTTGAATAAAACCACTGTTCATCAGCATCAGTAGCTTGAATCAGAGTTCTCTCTCCTCCCCTGACCGGGTAGCAGAAGAAAGCAGGATTATCCTTAACTAAATATGGAAGGTTGTCATTCACATCCTGTAAGTGGAGAATCAAGGATGTTCTGGATTTCTGAGCTGCGTTATCTGTAGAGTTTAACAGATTGCAAAGTTACATGGACATCTTGAATTCACATGCTGGGTTGTTGCATTTGCAGCTATTCTAGAGGTATCAATAACTATCAACATGTCCAGAGGACAGAAACAAAGCTGGTGAAAGAGCTGGAAGGAAGTGAAGAGTGTCATTGTGTCTGAAGGTTGCAGAGGCAAGGTCTCAGGAGGACCTGAGGAATTCATGGTAGTTGCCACTACTTTTTAACAAGTATGGTTTATTTATCACCAGCTCTTGCTTACTTCAGAGCACTAGCAAGGATAAGGAGGCAGACAGACCATCATATCTAGTAAGTGATCATATCCAAGGTGACCAGTGCTCTTCGGAGCTCTTTTAAGCATGAAACTCCTTAAGTTTCACACCTCTCTTCTGTATACAGGAAATGCAAGTCAATACTGAAAGATTCTAATGGCTGGGATTAGAAGCCCTAATATATTTCAGAGTTGATAGCATATTAGTTTTATTCATAATAGAATGAAATTCTGTACAAGGCTGCAGACTACTCTCCAGGTATGTTTTCAGGAAGCCTAAAGATATCTGTAAGAAAGACTAAAATCTTTACAGATATAGAGGAAAAAGTGGCAGAAAATGTTGAAGCTGAAAACACCGAAGAAATTCTAACTCTCTTTATATGTCATGTGGCTCAAGCAAATATAAGATCACGTGGTAGCTAACTTCATGAAAACTGTTTTAATCCTAATTACCTACAGCATCAAGATTTCTTTAAGAAAGTTAAAATCTTAAGAAATATATACTTCTAAGGATACATCATAGGATGTATATCTAAGAATACATGTTCCTGTACTTTTCATGGGTTTAGTCATGGGAGGTATGATAATTCCTCATAAAAGAGTGAGGACAGGTGATTCCTCTGTGTGTGTATGTGGTTGTTTCGTCACTTACTCAGCTCTGTTGCAACAACATCTATTGTGTACATTTCTGTTTCTTCTCGATCCAAACGGGAAGCAGTGTATACCTGCCCAGTGATTGAATTAATTCTCAGCCATTTCTTCACATCACCTTCTAAGGAGTATCTTTCGAAAGAAACAGGGAAAAAAAAAATCACATACGCTATCCTGAAGCAGAAAAAGAATCTGACAAAGCAAACTGATTTTAGCCAAGCAGCTTGGTTACAATTGTACTCAAAGACAGGGTTCTTGGAAAAGTCACAGTACTACAGCCAAGCCGGAGATACAGAAGAAGAGAGGCCAAAATCATCCAGAATAAGAGTGAGAGCAGAACCATGGAAATGCCACCACTACTCCAGTCTGTGTACTTGCAACTTCACTTTCCTCCTAACTGTGAAACCTGGGGTGTTCCTGAGCTTTTGATCCAAAACTGTGCTTTGTCCCAACCCCATGTCACTCTCTCCTCATTGCATTTCCCATGCCTTGGTTTCGCTGGGGGCACAAGCCAAAGGCTGGGGGGAAGAGGGAGCAGTGCAGCCAGACACCCTATTTTGGATCAGCCAGGGAACAGGATCCCCAGCTGGACTACAGTGGATGTCTGCTGCCTGTCTGGAGAAGCTTGACAGAAGCAAGTACCATTGGATAGCCTTGAAACAGAGTGTGCTTTAAACATCACCATATAATTGCCTTTATATCATTGTTTAAAAAAACACCAGGGTCTCTGGGTATTTACTTATACAAATTTAATCATGAATATGCCAGTTAAAGCACAGGCACTTGCTTGAGAAGCAACCTGACCTTCTCGCTCAAAGTTTTTGTTCTTTCAGTACCCCTTACATTAGAAACAGCATGCTAACATGCTTGTACATCTTCTACTTTTTATACTTTTTATTTTATGCTCTTTAATCTATTTTTTAACACAAATGTGGTTTATGTATTTGTGAATATTTGTCATCTGTCTCTGTCATCATCCCCTGGAGCTTCTGGACTATGTGGCTCACTTTCAAACCAGTTTGACAGAAGGCCAAACGTGATAAGTTGCCAAAAGTTAGGGGAAAGTAGAAAGCCAGATGAGAAACCTCTGGGAATAAAAATCCACTGGAGGCCTAAGAGTTATATTCTACAACTCTATTAACTACTTGGTGTTTTGCTAAATTTTAGTTAAATTTCAATAACTATTTGTTGATTTGTTCAGCATTCCAGATGAGAATGGTGCAGCAAGAGCCCCAGATAATTCTCCTATCTGACTCTACTGTATAAGGTACATTTACACCATGCAACATGGCACAGGAATTGTCTTGTACAGAGCTTTGCATCAGCAGTAGAAGCAAGCTTATTATCTTTGACAGATGGGAAAGAAAACGAATTAATTGTTAACTGCAGACTTGAGGTTCTGTGTTTTGATGGAGAAAAGCCATGTGTGGTTTCCTGTGTGACATGAAGAGCAGCTACTCTCCTAGTGGTTCTTAAGGGTACGCAGTATATTCTTCATTCATTTGTTAAAGGCATTATGGATATGGAAAACCTGTTATTCTCAGACCAGCTCTGCCTTTTTCCTGGAGAAATATATTGGCCTTCTTCCCTAGTGGTTTTCTGTTTCAAGGGTCCCACCAGCTGATGCTTGTCACAGTACAGAGAGAAATCTGGTCAGAAAAGCACTGTCCAGCAGGTGGGTCACTGGACATCACCCCACCACACCTCTGCTTTCTACTAGGAAACAAGATTTCTGTAAAAAAAAGTATTTTCCTGCATGCCAAATATTGGGCATATTTTCCTCATACCTTCTTTAGAACAATTTTCGAAATACTAAATTCAATGAATTAATTACAGTCACACTTTTTTACCGTACAGAATCCCCCTCAGGATCATAGGCCTCCACAGTCGTGACCAGGGTATTGACAGGAACATCTTCAGACACTTCTTCTTTGTAAACTGGCTTGAGGAAAACAGGTGGCTCATCCTCATTTGTTAAGAAAACTTTAAACAAGGTAAGGGAACTTGAGTTGTACTGTACTCCTGGCACCAGCGGTTCGGGGTTTGTGGCATTGATCACCAGGTTGTACACTGGCTGTGTTTCAAAATCAAGAGCCTGGATTAGAAAAAGAAAAAGGTGCTTTAAGCGATGACCCTGCTGCCATGAAGAGCTTCAGTGAGAAACCACAAAGTCCCCCCTCTTATCAAGGAGGAGATTGCATCCCAGATACAGATAAAACAAGGGAGAGCTGTCAGGAGAAAAATGACACTGAGAACAGTCAATTTAAATGAAACCATATGTATGTTTAGGGGCCTCCTCAACAACTGCATTTTCTAATAATGTTGCCACCTGCCTAAGTTTAATAACTATATCCTGTTTACAGGACTAGTATTTATAGCTCTGTATGAGAAGGTCTCAAAGGAACTCTGGGTGCCAAAGGTCATGCAAGGGTTGTTACACTGCAGAGTTTCTCACAATTGCCTCCTTGGAAAAAAATGACACTGAGGTTGATCCTGAAGATGGTCCACCAAACGCTGCATCTGCCTGCCCTTGGCCTGGCCAGCAGCACATGAACTGGGTGCATACAACATGGTACCCCCCTTGGAAAATGAGCAATAAGTTTTCTGGACTCATAGTCCAAGCACCTTAAGAAGGCTAATTTCAAAGGGAGAGCAATTTTGCTATTGAAATTCATGGACACAGCAAAAGCATTCTGCCGCAGTCCGAGAAGGGGGGGAGGATGGTGGCACTACACAAGCCCGGGACACGAGGGTGGGGTGCAGGTAGAATGTTTTTGTCACGTGTGCACTCTGTCTTTTGTCAGCTCGGGAGGGGAAAGGGCCAGAACATAGGATGGAGCATGAGACAGGTAAGCGAGAGGACAAACCAAGGTAGGGACAGGGCAAAAAGGGGAGGAACGCAGGTGGAACCAGGGGAGGAAAGGGCGAACGGGGGCTGCCTCCTGTCTGCAGCTTCTCCAGCCAATCGGCAGAGAAACAGGGGAGCAGGGAGGCGAACAGGCCGGGATTTGCCCGGAAGACACAAACTCTGGGGGAACATACAATGTGTGTGTACATAATAACTATAAAGTCTGCATCATAGAGTCCGTTCAATCGCTGTACATATTTTTCCATTTCTGGAATCGTTCCCATTCCGATTCTTGGTCCTCGACAGCATTCCTCATATTCATGTCTCCAGCATTCAGCATATGAGCTGTATCACCCAATGCAGCACATGCTGACCTTGGCTTTGTTGCAATCAGCGTTTCCCTCAGCAGGAACAAACTGTCTCTCCATCCTGACACTGAGACTTGCTAGCCTCACTTTCACCTCCCATTGCAAAAGCCACCAATGGCCCAGAGCAACAGCAGGGAGGAGAACCTGCCCCATCACCACCCGCCACTACCACCATAGCCTATGGAAGCATTTAACTGGTTTTCTCTTTTCCTATGCAACTGCAAAATCACTCAAATGATGCAATTTTTTGTCTTTATGGTGCAAAAGGACCTACTTTCTTGGCCTTCCTTCTCTGCTGGAGAAAGAGCCAGCAGCCGAGCTGGTGAAGGGAGCTGCTGTTGATGGCTGGTGGTTAGGGGACAGCAAAGGCAGGAGGATAGGTGTGTGTGTGTGCCCACTTCACAGGTACAGTGCCTGACCCCAAGAGTGAAGCCTTCTGCAGTCTGCACCATGCTTAGAGTGTCCTCACCCCTCCACTAGCCAACACCACTCCCTGCAAATCATCACCAAGGCTGTTACTGTTTATGACAAATAAATAACAGTAAAGGAGAAGAATGAATCCATCTATTCACCTTGTTAATCTTGATGAACCCTCGGTTTGTTTTAGCATCTGTGTCTATAATGAACGTGTTGTTTGGATCTCCTTCCTTCACTTGGTAGATGATGAGGGAGCTCCCTGTGTCAGGCTCATCTCCGTCGTGAGCTTGAATTTCTAATATCACAGTTCCTACTGGGACACTTTCTGCAATGGTCACGTTGTGATACTGAAGAGAGAGAGATCATTGAAACATGATACACCAAGCACCATCTGTGGACAAAAACTTGAGCACTACAACAAGTTTGCAACCCACCAGCCAAGTGAGGGAGGGAAGTTTTTAGCCACACACTTTTCAAAAATGATGGGATCTATGTTAGTGGGTAGACTACTAGTATAGCAACATTCACAATCCTTCACTTTCTCTGTTGTAACCACTTATGTGGTTCATGCAGTGCTCACAGTAGCATGGACAGCACAGCTCCTCAGTACCCCATGAGCACTCTGGCTACTCCCTGTTAAATATTTAATTGCTCTATGCACCATAGACTGTTGCCACATTAGCATCTCAGCTCCATTGACTCTGATTGATGCATGCCCTCATCCAGAAGCTTCATCCTGAGACCAGCTCCAGTACTGAGGCCTTGAGGCGAGGTGTACAACCTGCTATGTGGCACCTAGTCTGCATGTGACTATTCTCCCATTGCCATCAACAGAGACCTGGGCAATGCAGTCAGCAAAGCCCCAAAAGCAACAAAGCTTTCCAAAAAGGACACCTACACTGGATGGGCCAGACAGCTGTCCTGAGTCCACTGCCTGCATTGCCTACAAGAATGGTGGGAGCTTGGACACCTATATGTAGGCACTTCAGCCACTTCAGTGTCTGCAAGGGAGGCTTGGGCCATCAGGCAGAAGTCACAAGAGGTCTGCAGGTCTCTCTGCCAGATGCCAGCACCTCCACCAGAGGAAAAGGCAAGAGCCTGATGCCCATTCTGGAACTGAGGGCCAGCAGGTATGTGTTTGGGCACGGATCACTGGACTACTATTCCTAGTCAAACCAAATAGGGCCTTTGATTTCCATCCACCTTCTGGCTGTTTTGGGTGCATTAATACTGTGTTTGGAAGGGAACTTGGGCGATATTAGGTTTTTTCCAATTAGCTATTTAATTAATTTTAAAAGCTTTTCTTTCCCCCTTTTCTTTCAGAATTTACACTTCTGGAATAAACTGCTTTAATAGAATAATTTCTTTCTGTACATGTGGTTTTCCACTGAGCAAATCACCTTAAATTTGAGAATTAACTATGAGTGAGTCCCAGTGTTCACTGTTCACATAGAGCCTATATATAGGCTTGCAGCAATACTCTGCCTTTATTTTCAGTAGTGGATTACTCTGTTACTTGTTCTGTAAATGGTTAGTTTCCCATTTACATTCTACAGACATTGAACATACACTCAAACAATTGTCAAAAGCATCCAAAACAACGTTAAAAATACTCACATCTGATTTTTCAAAGATGGGAATTTGATCATTGATGTCAATGACATGTACTTCCACGTCACAGATTGTTTCAAATGCTGCATGGAAGAGACAAACAATGTCACAGCAGCCCCTCTGCCAAAAATAACTTTCCTCCAAAACGGTTCACTGTGAGCAAAAGTGAGCACTGTCAGATTGCCCAATCCAAGCAAAGTCCTGCCGTTATAAGAAGCACTTGATCTCAAATATCTCTTGGTCACTGATGACCTCACTCTATCTTATCATTCACCTTTCCAATTTCTTGAGCATCGTCCCATCCTGCTTCATTTTATGTCCTTCACTTTTTAAACCATATCCCTTTACCAGGATGATGATAGCTGTGAATTGTGTTAGCTTTCTCAGTATCACTTTTGTGTGTCAAAAAGTGAGTCCTGGGTTGTTATGCTACCTTGTCCTGTTGGCAGGCCATCAGGAAGCACCCTCATTTTTGTTACAGCCAGACTTAAACTTCAAATCTGTGTAAATCTAAGCACTACCTGAGCAGAGGGCATCCATAGCAAAGGAGGGTTGTGGGTTTAAAGCGTAAAATGTCTGGTCATGTGCTGTTCATAGGTAGCTGGATTTTAGTGTTTTACAGATGTACTTCATGTGCTGAAAGTTAAGGAATATTCTAAGTAAACTGTTTGGATGAAATTTCAATAAGCATCCAAAACAAATCACCAGCTTTTCCCTCTGCAAGGTTTTCTATCTTCTGCCTAAATGATGCTATTTCATTTACAGACATGTCACACTTCTTTCTTTACATGCCAGTTCCTCCATCTATAAGTTTTGCTTAGCTATAAAGACTCCAGCACAAAGCTTTAAGCTTTAGCATGACGTTCAATTTCTTTTCCATTCAGTGAACCACAAACAACTCTTGGGAACTTACATAATGGACAAGATTCTTTTCAAAGTTTAATTTCAGCTCTTAATGTTCTCAAATACGTTATCTGGACTGCTGAGCAGCTGTGTTTAATTTCTTGATTTTTTTTTCAGTAAGTCCCTTTGAAAGATTTTGGGGGAAAATCACAATCATGATCTCTTCATTTTTTTTACCATGTGGAAGGAAATCTCTCACTGGAGAACTTATTAACAAGCTTCCCAATTTAGCCACACTCTGACCTAGAGCTGGTTTCCTTTCATGCTTGCACTATGAATCATGATTAACTGCCCTGTGTCTCAAGAATGAGGCAAGTACCACACCAGAGCAAGATAGTTTTCAATGCTACTGTCCGTGCAGTGAATCTTCCGTGTCTCTTCTCACATCCCTTGGACACTGAGCATGGGGGATGCCAGAGTCAACAGAGCTGTTCCAGTGTTTAACAGCAGGCATTACATACCTCCATCTGTCACCAGCACCTCCAACGAATAGTTGGATGCATAGAACTTGCTTAAGGAACGACCAGTCAACTGCAAAACCCCGGTGTCTTGCTGAATATAGAACAAATTGCTTGTGGGAACTTCAGGAACCTGACTTTTGATTTTGAACCGCAGGCGAGAGTTAAGGGTGTTCTCCTCATCCATGTCTGTAGCAAACAGGGTGCCAATATTGCTTCCTGTGGCAGAGTAGACACCAGAGTCAGGCAGATAATGCAGTGGTCCTGTTTCTCCACAGAGGTATACACTGGCAACAGTGATACCAATGCAAAGAGTAGAGGGTCAGTAAAAATAAAACTGCATGGAAAACATTGTGACAGACATAATAATTTCACTTCTGGGAGTTTTTCTTTTAACATCTCAACCTACTGTTTTAGGGTTGGGGCAGTCCAGAAGGACTTTGATCAGAAGAAGTGGCTATAACAACAGGCACTTCAGTCCTGAAACCAAATAACTGATGTGAAGATTTAGGGACAGATTTGGGTAATGGTCCACTGAAGTCAAAGTCATTGGGGAGTATCTGGACAAGGGAAAATGGTCTCATACCCCTTTTAGAGCATTATTTCTTGTATTAGTAATAAAAGGGGTGTTTTTCTTTTTACACTCTAAGCAGTTGTCCAAAACTGTGACTGTGAGAAAATGCAATTTTATATTTTAAATGGAACAGTATTTTTGTAGTAGGTGTCTTGGGTCTGCTCCTCTCAAGTTATTGAAATCCTTTCCACATAAAATACTGAAGTAAAAACAACAGGGTTATTTGCACTGGAAAACATTTGTCTAGGAGACCTACATTTTACTCTTTGGGATCAGAATTTCTACCTTCATTTGCACTCAGCTGGAAACAATAACAGGACTAGAATGATGTGTATAAATTAATAGAAGCTGTTTTCTTACCTCCAACTTCATTTTCTTGAACTTCAATTACAGTGAGGGCCTGCTTGCACACAGGGGGATTGTCATTAATGTCTTCCACAATAACATGAATTTGCAAAGGTTTGTCCGTCAGTTCTCCCTGGTTATCTTTTGCAACCACAAAGAATGTATACTGCAATAGGAATAGCGTGATTAGATTTTCTTTAATGTCCACTGTGATGATATTTTACATTTAAATATGTAACTAGAGAAGCGTTCCACGCAAATGAAGTATCCTCTCATAAGTGTGTTCAGTATTTTCATTCTGTCAGAACTCTTCCATTACCTTTCAGTGCCTGAGGTCTGAGTTCTCAAAAGAATTTAAAATTCTTTGACTGCACTCTGGCCCTGCTCTCGCAAAAATTCAAGAAAAGCGGGAATAACTCCTTTTTGTCACTTTGCAAATTCATCTGCTACACCTGGAGGTAGAATTTCTCCAGCACATCTGATCTCTGGCCTATTCTGTGCCCAAATTTCCTCCAAGAACAAAAGGGAACAGAGGGGTTTCTGTCTAAAAGACCTCCAGATGGGAAACTTCAAGGTAACTTTACAGTTGCAATTCAAAGTTAAACTCTGCTTCTGGTGTGGAGAGATCTCTGAGGCTCCTGGGGTCTGAAGCAGTTCTGAAACATCCAAATCTTCTGCCCTCCACAAATGCCACCACCTATCTCTTGCTTATGCACCTACAATCCTGCCATAGGTGATCCATGTTGTACATTGTATATATGCTGTAGGCAGTGATTGCTACTGCCAGCTCGGTGGCAGGGTAACAACCTGAAGGCTGTTCATAATGTTGCACTTTCATATATATCAAATCATTCCCAAACAGAAGTGGCAAGAAACAAAGCTTTTATTCATTTTCCCCCCTCTGTCCTTTCTATTGAGCTTTCTCATATTTACTCCCACACCAATAATCACTTTCCAGCTATGGTCTCTCGCATCAGTGAGGTTTTATGAGTTTACTTACAGTATCCTTTTCTTCCCTGTCCAATGGCTTGGTCACATAAATAACCCCATCCTGACTGATGGAAAATGGGAGCCTGGGCAGCTTTTCTTTTTCAAAAATGTCATAAGTTACATTTGCCTCATTTGACTGCACCTAAAAGAAACCAAAAAAATAAGTCAGGATACGAAGTCAGAAGTGCAGACTGAGATTTAACAGGGATCATTTCTGGACCACAAACAGAAAAGATTGCATTCCTGTTAGTTTCATAAGCCAGAAAAATAACATTTTGGCAGGCTCCTGGGATGAACTGCAGAAAATCAGACTGATAATCCACCTCCGCTCTCTGAATTGTGTGGTGAAGCCATCGTACCCCTGTTTCTCCAGCCATCCAGATAGGATACAACACTTATTTTTTTACGGAAGGGTTTTGTGATATGGACCTAAATTGACACTAATTTATTCCATCTCCTTACACTGGCTCTTCCTGGCTGTTGTTTTGGTTTATGTAATTCAGAGAAGTGAAACAACAAAACAATTATCTGGTACCTATCTGCACATAGGTGTGTGCACACTCTTTGCACGCATCAAAGTCTGTGATGAAGAATCTTTACTGGGGTGCTGCAGATTTAAAATGAAATAAGTACACAGACTGTCAAATTAATGAAGGAGTCAGCATTACTGTTTATGTTTCATACTATAAAGCAGCAACTGCATTTCATTTTTCCCTGGGCAGAATCAACATGTCATTGGCTGTCACATGAAATTTGTATACAAGTGACCCCCGAAAGGATGCACCATTGCATGGTAATCTTTCTTCCATGTGTTTTCACTCTGGACTTCCTTGGTCTGTCACTGAGACTAGTGAGAATAGCATCGAGTCGATTACTCTTGCAAACAGGACCCAGGGAATCCTGCCATGTTCGAGGGATGACGGCATTGAGGGTGTCAGTGCCAAGGCATTTTTCAAAGACAAATATTTCTGAAAGGCTCTTGGCCTGTTAGTTAATATGTACTGATTGTATGCATTGCTATTGGTCTGCAGTTATCAGCAAAATATTTCGTGTTTGCACTGTGAAAAGAGGAATACCATGGGAATGCAGGATGTGAAGGAGGATGTTTCAGTCCTCCCTAGGTACTTTTGATGTAGCAGGTGTGCTACATGATACAAAACTGGTCACATAAGCTGTCCCTGATTGCGGGGGACTGCCCACAGCAGGGCTGTTATGGAGCTTCTCCCCTGCCAAGCTCTTCTGCAGTTGGAAGAATCTAACCTCAAAATAACCTTCAACAGACTAACTCTTGATTTGCCCAAAGCCTGGAGGACCCATGACTGGACTTTGCATCTAAATTGAAGGGCAAAGTCCAATCACTCTAATGTTTGTATTGACTGTACCTCGGTCACCTTCAAATTGTTAACTTTCCTACTAAAAATAAGTCAATGAGACCTGCACTAACAATCATTTCCAAAGGATACCATATGAGAAATAACTGGGAGGTGTTGAAGTCCTTCTGAAGAGCCCAATGTTGAATGCAGTGGGGGAATCTTCCCAGTTAGCTGGGAGGAAACGACTCTGTGGCACCAAGAAGTGCAGGGAGTGTGGCCAAGGAGCCTACCTGGCTGATGTTGACAGGATGGACCTGGGTTGAGTTTTCCTGGATGCGGATGGTGGGGGGAGCTTTCCACAGGCTATCCTTCACATGGATGATCACATCGGCACTGCTGGTGAAAGCATTTGTTGACATTCCTGCCATGTCCTTCACGGAAACAACAAGTGTGAAGGTGTCCTGCTTTTGAGGATCTAAGTAATAAGAGCCTAGAGACAGAGCAAAGAGCCAAGTGAAACGATGCAGAGGGTGTAGGGATGTTTCATCTCCCCATTGCCTCCTTCATGCACTGTTTCTTTATTTGCTTCAGACTCACTCCTTAGATGGTCCTCTGTGACAAATCTCAGCAAGCAGTTTCTCTGAATGACGCAGCACAGCATCATGTAGATGTAATCCTATGAGACCTCTGTGCTGTGGTCTCATATTGTGCAGATACCCTCACTCCAGTTAAGCACTTGTTCAGCCCAGCAGAAGAGACAGGCATTTCTAAATCATTGCAATTTAGTTGGGATCACATGGCTGGCTGAGTTTCCTCTGCATTTTTCATGTTACTGCTTTTGGTTCTCTAGATTTCAAGGAAGAGAATTAATCCCAAAATATGACATACTGTAGTCCTGTGAGCCAGAGGATCTATTTCTCTTCTCAGTGTACTTTTAGATCCCAATATACATTTCTGCTAACTTCTCTTGGATTTGGTGGGACACAAAACAAGCTCCCCAAAACCAGGGGCTCAGTGGAGTATGTCCCACTGACTACATTTATTCAGAATGTAACATCAGACCTGTGTTGTTTTGTTCCTATGTACACCCTGGAACTCATGCTTGCTCTTTGAAAACAAGAATCTTTTTACATACCTGTCCTACTCGGTGAGATGGCTCCTGTTACATTATCGATCTGGAAAAGCATTTCTTTATAAGGGTTGGGAAAGTGATGGAGAATGCTGTACGTCAGCTGTGCATGGGGAGTTGCAGGATCATCGCGGTCAGTGGCATGGACATACATGAAGGGTTTGCCTATTTGGATTAGAGAAGAAAAAGTGGTAAGAGAAGAGACTGAAAGCTCAACATATAGTCCATTCAAGTCAGAGCTCTCAAGCCAGAAAGGCAGCTTATGGGGAAGTACCATTGATTCATATTTCATCTCTCATGGGAAGCCATGACTGCGTGTAGAGATTACACTGACTGCATGTCATCCCGCAGGTCCCCTCCTCCCATCTCCACCAGTAGGATCACAATAGATGTGAAGACCAGTAGATGAAGAAGGTGACAGAAGTTAAATCAGCAGAGAGCTATCTACCACATAAGAGTGCCTGAACCCAGAATGCAGCTCACTGGTATCTCTCTTTTAAGGACACTTGGCAGTTTTTACACAAATCAGTTCAACTCAAAGCACCTCGATAAAAGTGACCTACAGCTGTGATGCAGTTTTAATTAAAGGAACAATTCTACAGTGAAAAAATATAGAAATACATGGTAATGTAACTCAAATTTTACCTTTTGAGCACCAATGTAAATTTCAAAATATTTCTGACTTGGATGCAGTTAAGAATACAGTAATATATTTCAGAATGATTTTCTGACCCCCCAGAGGTTTATATGCATATTCTTTAGTGAAAGTTTCTTCTTGTGTCCGTAGTCACAGTGATAACAGTAGTATGAGTCTTTTGTTTCATTTCCAAGATGAAATTGCTCTTTGACATTTTCCTGACTCATGGACTGGATCACTGCAATCCATAATCTAAGACTCTCTTCTAAATACTAAGGTTCAGTCCATGTTCTGAGAAGCATCAGTTACAGAAAACACATACCCCATATGTACCCTGGCATTTTATTTCGCTGATGTGCAAAGAGTTACATATTTTTAGCATTCTCTTTCTGTGTAGTCTTTGGCAACCTTTACACTTTAAACTCCTTCTAGCAGAGGAGTTTTTTTCAGTGCAATGGAGAAACCAGTCATATTTGCCTGCTAAGTGATACTTGCAAAGCAATAAGTACTATGAAATATTTTTGATTACAGTCATCTCTTTGCACTACATAGTGGTGACCTCTTTGCCTTTTTATCATATTTATACAGGTTTTCATCCTTATTTTGTACAGTCCTGTGGGAAGGAAAACCGGTAATTTTGTAGCTTGTTGAAATATAGCACCCACTTTATCTTCCTGTTTAATTTACCTACCTTCCTATAAACTATAATATTTAATTATTAAGATAATTACCTGGACGAGAGTTCTGCCTCACTACTCCAGTATATGTTATCTGGTCAAATTCTGGTGGGTTGTCATTGATGTCCTCCACATATATTGTAACAGCATATGGACCTTTCACTACATTTCCATTTACATCCAGACTTTCCACCTTATTTCAAAAAAGAAGCAACAGCAACAAATATTTTCATGTAGGTAAATTAGAAGTCATAAATTAACATAAGGATGTCAAATGTCAAGTCATTCCTACTGTGACACAGGTCTGGTGAGAGTCATCACTGGGTAGCTCCCTCTACAAGGACAAATTCGCCACTGTAGCTCACTGGTAATAATTTGCCACAGTATATAATGCCAACAAAACAAAAGAACCCACTCGTGCTTCTGATGGCACTTTTCAGAGGACAATTTCTCACTTCCAGGCTCAGTAGACAACTTGTATTTTTGCACAGCTCAGAATTTATGTCTTTCTTTAAACAGAAACATATACTTCCTAAAGAACAAGTAGAAAACTCAACATGACATAGCATTTATAAATAATTGCTATTATAAATATCAACCAGGTAAATAGGCTGATCTAAAGGTTAGTAAAGAAAAATTAATTCTTATTTTTAATGACTTTTTTTCCAACAATTTGGCTTCTTATTCTCCAGCATTCTTTGACTTTAAAGTACCAAGTATATACTACATCTGTCAGACTTTATTTTATTTGCACATAGTAGACAAAATCATGATTATTTATGCCTAAACAAGCATAATTTTTTAGTTCTGTCATCACTTCTTGTCTATAAATGATTCACATGCTTAGGATTAATGTCTGGAGCTAGAAAATTGTCCTCTCTAATTCCAATCCAAGGGTGCTTTAGGGCTGAGAACTTGAAACCATTAAACCCGAAGTGTTAGACTTTAGAAAGATAGCTAAGGTTAGCTAAAAAATCATCATGTACTTTGTCTGTTCAGATACTGATCCTCTCATGGTCATTTCCTTCTCAGTTGCTAGTGCCTCAGAAAAAAACACCACCTATTTTGACACAGAATAACAGCACAAGGCTGTACTGAGACCAAAAGACTGCCTATCTGCTGTCCCACACCCAACAGTGTTTACAATGAGATCCTAATAAAAATGGTACAATAGCAGGACAAGTATACAAAGCTTTTTCCTTTAATAGACTCCAACATGTGCAAAACAGCTTTCTGCTGTTATCTAACATAGGTTAGATCTGTATATCTCTGTCTAAATGTCTTTTACTCACACAATTTGTTACCATGCAGATTATAGCCTTCCTAAATAGATTACAATAGTTTATTTTCCCGCTCCAGACATGGAATTCACCCTATCAGTCTTCAGGGATAACAAACAAAACTCATTCATGAGGCCAGATTTCACTTCCAGTCAAGTATTCCCATATTTTAAGAGAGTTAAAGGACTGGTGTTGGCATCAGGATAACTTTTGGTTTCTCAATACAGTTTTCCTCCGCTAAGGAGCATTTTCCTGCTCAGCCTTTCAGAACTATGAAACCATGTGTCTTCCAGCAAAGCTCAATGTTAAAAGTGAAAATGCTGTCTGTAAACATAGACAAAATAAAGAATTGGAAATTTCAACAGTTTTCTATTAATTTCAGATTTACCAAAAGAGAGCGAATTTACTCTCTCTTTCTGATTTTCATTGAGTCTTTACCTGCAGCCAGTGCACGGGTTTGGTCTCCCAATCCAGAGACCCATTGAGATACAGGATGCCCTTCTCCGGCGCAATGTCTATTATTCCATCTTTATCACCAGACAATCTGAATGTCACAGCAGGTGGCTCAGATGTGAACTAAAATGGAAAAAAATCAGAGGGAAAATCATCCTTTTTCAACGTTTTCACCATAATAAAAATCATTCCGTGCTTTTGTGACTTTTAAAATCTATTGCCAGAAGTGTGCTTGGCTGGGAGAATGATATTCTGAGAGTCTGCTCGAACAAATCTGCTCTTTTCTGATCCTCAACAGAGGAATTTTCACATTATTTCCTTAATGCTGCAAGAAATCCCAACTGTAGTTTGTTTCCAAAGCAAACGTCTGCTTTAGGACAGGGTTTTGTCTGAGCACGGGAATGGAAAAATGTGACACACATTCTCCATTTGCCTGGAAGCTGGATCTGTCCTCTGGTTATGGTTTTGGGAAGAAGAAAACCTCAGAGTCAAAGGAAAATTATGACACAATTTACATGGAAACCCATTCCCTAGGAATGCTGATTTTATTAATCTCTGTCTTAGGATATTCTCTTAAAAATGTGTTTCATAGAGGGGGTTGTCTCCTGTTGTTTGCATGTAGACTCTCTAATTCCCAGAGAGAGGAATTAAAAATTAATTTCAGATCCTCTTGGGGGACTGTTCTTCCCACCAACACAGATGACAACACTCCATATGTGGTCTCTGAGTGCAGGCTATGGGGGTTTTCACCAGAGTGGATAACAAGAGACACTTGATTACCTGGTAAAGGATGCGCACACCCCCTCCTTCTGGAATAGAGAAATTCATGTCCTTCAGAGGCCCAGTTACATGCAGGTCCCCCAGATTAAGGCACATAGCCTGTGAGAGAGAGAGAAAAGAATAGAGGAAAACAGCTGAGGGTTGTCTGCTGTCACCATGCACAAACAGCAGCTTTCCATTACTGAGCTTCTTGCGAGTTATTTTGCTGTAGTATAACAGCAGAGACTCTTGCTGGTTTGCACTGAACATCTCCAGGTTCTTTAGTGCACATCCATATTTAAAAGCAGTTGTTATTTATTAATTAATTTGAGAACAAACACCTACCCCCTGCCCTTTTCTAACCACTACATAATTAAATGAGATTTGATTTACCTTCAACAGCAAACAGAAGCAGCAGAGATGAATGTAGACTGAGACCAAAAGAAAGTTTAGAAAATTGTTGCTGTATCACCTCTGTGTCCCCAGCAGGACCATCTATGTCCCATCTAGAGTCCCATCTAGGAGTCAAAAAGTCTTGTGGCAACTAATGTGTCTGGAGGCCAAATGCCACACCCGGGGATGGGGAGGAATAGGGACTGCACCCCTCATAATTTCCTCAGTAATTCAAATCTTTTTTTGTAAGGGAACAAGGTGGACCTCTCTGGGTCCCCTACCTCATCACCCTCAGTGCCATAGCCACCTGGACCAGTCACTACAGCCCTGTGCCTTCACATCAGTTGCATATGAGTGCAAACCACAGACAGAGCAAACATGTCCTCCTGATCTTTGTCTTCTACCTGCTGGCAAAAATGCCATATGGTTCTGTCTCAGCCTCTGTCTTTTTCTTAATGTCTGGCAATATCTTCACATCATGTTTTTTCTGCTGATTTTTTAATGACTGTTATAACCACCACTCCCTAGTGCCCCAAGACCTCCAGACACACTTCTACCCTAGTGTTTCAGGGCTGTTCCTTTTTTCAAACAAAAAAGGTAAAGCAAAAATGAGCCTCCAAGGGCAGCCCTTGCACACAAGACAATTCAGACTGTGGTTCGGATAATCTATCTATTTCTCCAAAAGCAAGACCAAACTCCCCTGAATACCTACTCTTCACTCCCTGTCTTGCCAATGCTGAGAATCTGCCTGCCAGAATTAGGGCTCCAGCTTTTGGCTGCACAGGCAAAATTCCCTTTCTTCCAGAGTAAAAATTACTTTATTATGCTTTACACATTTAGAGTCCCAGGGCCACCCTGTCCAACAGCCCATGGAGTTGAGCTCTGGGAGTGCGTGTTCTCTGCTGCATGACTTTTCCCCTGGATTTGGTCCTATTGCTGCTGGGACAGCTATTCAACCTCTCACAGAAAAGCACAGTCTACATACTACCAAGGGAAAACTTAATTCTGCCTATGAAAAAAACATAGCTAAGTTCAGCACAATTTACCCTAAAGCACTGCTCTGTGTGTGTGTGTGTCACAAGTGGTGTTTCAATAAAGCCAGATTCTCCTTAATAATAGCCAGAGATGTTGCCTTCTTCGCCTACAAGGGTTTGTGACTCCCTTTGCCAACAGGAAAAGCAGAGTACTGTGAGAAGGAGGGGGAGGGATGCTAGTGAATTCTAGTATCAAAAGAAAAATATGAAAAAAAGCCATCTAATAGTTACACATCCAGGAAAGAGTAGTTACAGCTTCCTTTTACTATTTTTGCTAAATGCCGACTGCTGGTCTCTGCCACAGACATGATAACAGGACCCTGAATCTGACCTGCTAAGGCTGTTCCCATGTCACAGAAGTGAGCACAGCCTGGAGGCGTTTCTCAGGGCCATTTTGTGGACAGATTTTGCTTGATCCTGTTCCTTGCCATGAAGGAACAAAGGCTGATGCTATAAAACCCAACGAGTTCAAAGTGCAGTCTGTGAAGCAAGTAAGAGATATCACCTCTCTCGATTAAAACTTATTTTATGTGGACCATAAATATTTTCAAACTTATGTCTATAGCATGAATCACCACTCAGGAGTGAAAGGGAAAAGACACTTTACTCCTTGGTCCATATCCAGTGGCATCCCTTCTGAAGATGGTTATAATGCCTGCGGAGTGGCTGCATGGGGGGGTCAGCACTGCCGTGGGCAGCAGCTTTTGCAATAAGAAGGAAAAAGGAGGTGCTCACTATGGCACATCAGTCCCACCCCCCAGGGTGTCCATATTCTAAGGCATTTTTTACTGAACTTGAATTTTACTCTTTTTTTAAACCTTTTATCTTAATTTTGATTGTGAAGTAGAAGCCACCACTGCTGTAGCCTTTACAAACATCGTTAAATCTATTGAATTAATACATGAGGTCCATAAATAACATAATTAATATATTTCAGTTCCAGAAAATCCTCTGAAAAGGGATTCACACAGACAGAATAATGAGGATACATAATTAATGTGCACAGTTTAAACTATGTGCCATTATAAGTCTTAGAATACATTTAATATGTCATCACACGTATGGATTATAATACAGAACACATGATACAGATGTCTTCACTGTTTGGTGATTTATTCCAGTATTTTTAAATCTTTTCAAGTATGAAATCCAGTTACTGGAAACAGTGATATCTAAAGATGAAGCACAAGAGGCAAAATAGGTAAATTGGTGCCTTTCGGGCTATTTAAAGTTTTTTTTCATAATGATTGAGATATCTTCTTAGCTTTTGGCTGTGAGATTGCACACACATTTTGGGGCCCCCCCTCCCACACCCAGAGTTACAGCCCCTCTGATGGCACAACTGCCAGCCTAACCTGCAGGCTGGCATACCCCATGGATTAGAGTTCAGAGGCTCACAGGTAACCTTTGCCATTTGCTCCAGATAAACAAAGAAAATCTGTAACTCACCGAGTGAATGACAAGCAGAAATTGAAGTACACACAGCTTAAGCATACTGGAATATGCTTTGCTTCAGGTCCTGCAAAGAAGAGATGACAGTCACTTTAATGCCATAGAGTTGGCCCAGTCTATTTGCAAACTAAGGCAACAGCTGAGCTTTCCTGAAGCTGCAGGGAGAGAGCTGAGGAGTGAGCTCTGAAGAGCCAGGGGCAGCTCTGCCCATGGGAGGCAAGATCGCTCGTGTTCCAGGCTGTCCAGGAAGCCTGTGCCCATCAGAGCTGTGCTCAATGGTGCAAGAGGTGCCACATGTTGTGAGAGCCCCAAAGAACTGTCAGAGATTGAACCCAGCACACAAATTTAAGCCATGCAACCTCATTGTTACAATGATTCTGTCACGCAAGCCCCATTTTCGTTTCCCCTTTGCTGAACACAACAACATGTTCACAGGAAAAACACAACCACAATAAGATGAAAGTCTTTCAGGGACCACTCTTAAGGTATCTGTCTTCTGGTTCCTAAAAAACAACTGTTTGCTTCAGCTTGCAGATGCAGAGGAAGTCTGAGGTTATCTGAATCCCTTAAAACAACACAGTTGCTGGAAATGAAATTTTCAAGTCCAAGGAGCATTTGTCTGCCTCAAATTTCAGAGAAATGCTGAGCACACACTTCCACGACTTGTGTTACATCCTCCTGAAAACTTGATGGGTTTCTCACAATGAAATCCTACTTTCTCACTACTTCTAGATTTTAACAAAGAAGAAGAGGCTGTTTCTGAAGAAAGGTGAAGCTGATGTACTGTGCTGCCATCTTCAGTGGTGCTCCGTGTTATGTGGCTCACACCTACAGGTACTGGGGGAGTGGGTTGCTTCAGTTGGATACAGCATGTTCCTAATAATGCCAAGGTCGAGGGTTCAATCCCCATACCAGGCCATTCACTTAAGAGTTGGGCTTGATGATCTTTGTGGGTCCCTTCCAACTCAGAATATTCTGTGAATATTCTTCAGCCACCACAGCTCTGTCCCATGGAGCCTCCCAGGGAGAAGAACACAGTGTGGAGGCACAGCTCCCTTCAGACACCTTTCTGCTTGGGCTTCCCATCATGCTGTTTTCTTCCCCCTCCTTTTCTTTCCTCAGTGGCTGACCCAAAAGGGGACCTTTACATACAGAAACCACTGCCCACATCGCTGTTCTCTCTAGCACTCATTCTAGGACATGCTACAGGACTTTATCTTCCAGATCCCATTCTAAGCAGGGTTATATATGTGTGCAATTACACCCTTTGAAATTGCTAGGCTCTTTCCTTGGGCTGGAGCTAAATGTATGAGTACTGGAAGAAAATAATATGACATTCCTTTGAAAATGGAAGTGACCAGGAAAATCATTAAATTTATCAGGAAACAAATGCTGAAGTTGAGCTCCCTGTAGCTGCCTGGCAGGGATGCCTGTCGAGCAGGTCCCTCACTACCCTCCTGAAGCCAGAGGAGGTGGCACAGGCAGGGCAGAGAGAAGGAGAAGACGCTTTGAAGCCTCTGGAAGGACACTTTGAGCCAGGACTGCTGCTGATATTTCCGTTAGATAGTCAATGAAAAATCTTTCAATTTCTCTGCCTGTACAACAACCTCTCCACTCCCCTCTTGTCGATCTCTTCTGAATACATTGGCCAGTTTCAGCTGCACTTAATAGCAAAAAACTCATTTGTTACTAATTTGGGGAGCCAGGTAGGACAGAGGACCCAAGGCGCAAGGCTGCATTTTGTGCCCAGCGTGTACCTGGCAAGGGAGGCACAGCTGTACATGCCCCTTGGCCAGCCAGCAGTGGAGGGACACCAGGAAGCTAAAAGTACTGGCGGAGACCAGCAGGCGATAGGAGAAAAGGGTATGGTGTGGTCTGGGATACCATGGTCTGCATTAAGGGAAAAGAGAAGGAGCAAGGCCTGCTATGGAGAGGAGAAAGTTTGAGGAAAGGGACACATGCAGCCTTACTAGAGGGGTCAGAAAATGCTGGAAAATGCACTCCTTCATGTGGCTGCCCTGCAGCCCTGTGTCACAGCCAGGTTCTTCTGTCCAGATCCAACTATGAAATGCAACAGTGGAAATACAGCCATTTCATAGTTTGCATGATAAGTGCCTTTGCTGTTTCCTTTTCTTTGAACATAAACATCCTTTCCTTATGTCATGCCATTTGAAGTGCATGAAGATTAGCCCTTGAACATTAATTTTTGGCTGGAAACTCTTACCAAGTCTCATGAAGCATTGCCCTGCCAAGGACCAAAGACCCAAATGCATACTCCTCTGTCACTCATAATAGAGTTTCAGTATATATAGATTCATACAAAAGTTTTCAGTAATAGGCAGTTTCAGAATTAGAATAATATCAGCTCAACCAAATGCAGCCTGGAGTTTGGCTGAGGATTGGAGCTATATTTTCTCCTTCATTTCTTAGCTTCATCTCAGTACTATATCCCTAATAATTCCTTATAGTTCTCATGACTGAATAGAAATATCTAGGATAACCATCATAGAAACATCCCAGTGACTTTCAATAATAAACATTCAGAGAACAAAGAATATTCCCCGAGGTTAAAGATCAGTAACAATCACAAGTATTTGGTTCCATGGAAAAAAATACTATTTTCTTTAGTTGATTGATTTCAGATGTTCAAATTCAGCAAAGAGAAAACAGAGGAAATCGATCCAAATCAAATACAAACCAGACTAAGCCTTAGCACAGCAGTCATCCATTCACAGGGACAACTGAGTTCCTAACGCTGTCTGAAAATCCTTTAACAAAACCCTTGTTTCAGCTTTTAAAATCTTTCTGTTAAGTAGCAGTTAGATCATCCCTTACCTGCGACATGAAAAGCTTATTTTGTTCTAAAAATGCTTCTTTCTTTCAGCTGTGGGAATCACCTTTGCACAGGTTGGCAGTGTCTGTCTGTGCTTATCCACACAGTTTATAGTTCTTCGGACTTGCCTATAGAGATTCCGCAGCTCAAACATTAACTGCATGGAGAATTATTGATACTAATGACTAGGTGTGGTATGAAACAGCAGCCCTGTAAGGAAGCAGTGTAGCTCCAAGGTAATTTACAGCCTTCAATATTTTTAGGTCCTTTGCAATTTTCTTTCTGAAGTAATTATTTTCAGTGGGGCTGTGAGAAATGAACACTCAGGGAGTGGGTTGGAGCTCCAGTGGGTAAGTTAGCTTTTCTGTAGAAGAGGAGGTGGAGCGGACAGGGCATGGGCCTTGGTTGGAGAACATGTTTGCTACTTTCCCAGCTGCAGAAATAATTCGTGTTCAGAAGACAATAATTTGGACATAAAGGTGGCTTGTTTTCACAGCAGATCTGTGCATGGGGAGAAACCAGCCTAGTTATGAGAATAATTTGCTAGTTCTCAACTCAAAAAGTTCAAATTCTGTCTGAGCTCAACCACAGATTTACTTCAGGTAGCTTTGGGCAAATCGCTCCATTCGCCCTTTTCCAGACACTCATCTCATAATGGATGTAATCCTTCCTTTCTCTTGAGTGTCATCTTTCATATCTCTTTAGGTTTACAGCCTTTCAAGAGAACCAGTCCCCACTAGTCTCTGTATTTTGACACCTGCAGTAAAGGGAACTGAAATCAGCTGGCCCATAAAGAGCTATGGTAAAACAAATAAAAAATAAAATATATTTGGTAAGAAAACATTTGTGCAGCACGTTATTTTCTGAATTATGCATCTAAAGAAAGAAGTGTTTAAAATCAATTGCAGCTCAAAGGTGTACAGTTCTGGGGAAAGTTAAGCTTTCTGTTTTTTGTTTCAGATCACCCTTTTCCCTCGAAATCAGTGTTTGTTTCTCCAGGAAAACACTTCTAGGCTGTGCTTTCAACAAGCTTTCAAAGACAACTGTTCTCCATTTGCTCATGCAGTCAGAATGATTCAGACTTTCTAAAAGTTGTCTGTTAGCAGTCTGCTAGCTCTTTGGAGCACAGTTCAAAACCAGTATCAAATAAAGCATTAAAACTCATTGTTAATGATTCTAAGTAAATATAATAAGGGGAGGGAATTGAGCTGTCTTGGAAATATGTTGATTTTAAGTACATACACATAGAATAATTGTGTGCTAGTTGAATATGAATGAGCAGTACTTTCAACATGGAGTATTAGTTTCAAAATAGCAAGAATTCACAGCAGCAAAACCAAATTAACTTTCACAAATTCCTAATGTCAGTTTAGCCCTCCTTTACATGACAAGTGCAGAGTAATTCAAGTCAGTATGTCAGAAGTCAGAGCCATATGAACGAGTCTCACATTTGTCTTTCAGATAGTAGTATCTCTGCTCACAAGTCCTATTATTAGGAAGTGCAGTGTGTTATTTGAAATGCAAATATAGAAATGTAAGGTACCTAATATGCTTCATTGAATGCCTCTATTTTTTAAAGTCACTAGAAGAGGTGAGGCTTCTCATACCCAGTATCTTTCTCTCGTTGAAATAGTTTTCCAGGCACAGAGCAACCGCTTATAGGTTGCAACCATACAGGAAAAAAAATCCTCCCATGTCAAATTCATTACAAAGTCCAGAAACACTTAAGGCTTTACAACAGTCATAACAGGGTGCCACAGATAAAATCATGAGAACAAACTCAGCAGTGTGACTGGTTCCTTGAGCCAGCTATTTCTCTGAGTAAATCCAACGAAGAAAAGGCAAATGTCCAGGTGTTCATTGTGTGAATCATTGTTCAGTGAGTCGGTTTTTCCAGGAACAACTCTTCTCATATCATTAGTCACATCCTTTTCACTCTTCCCATTTATCAGGTCTGTCATTTCTCCCTCACTCCTTTTTCATTTTTTCTTTTTGGCTTTTCCTGGTTTCAGTTCAGCTGATGTCTCTCCACATACCTGATGCTACAATAAATCCACACCAGAGCTTGGGCAGAGATCTCCCAAGCTCATTTCATTCATAGTTAGGTGTGGCCACCCTCAAAGCAGGAGGAAGTTGAATCAGCAGCACACCTGACTCTGATGAACAGCACACCTTGACCTTCATTCCCAGAGGATCTCCTTGAAGAGCTTGGTCAGCCCCATCCCTTCAGAAGTTGCCTCACACATGTGATACTCTCAGCCATGCTCCCTACCTCCTCAGGCAAGGAAGTCTGACCTCTCCCCCTGCACACAGACAGACCATACTGCCTTGCCTTCTTTATCACCCAGAGAAAAGGCCTGCTGAGAAGTTCCTTATTTGCTGCCATTAGGTCCTGGTCCCTGTTAGATGCTGAGCTAATGCTGTTAAACTCCCAGGTTATTAAACTTGCCTGGGTCAAGATGACAGATTTTAGTTTCCCTATTTCTTCTTGCGAGCAATGACATAATGGAATCAAATGGCTCTTCTGGAATAAACAAGGCATATTCTAGAGATTACTTGTGTTTACTCTATATTGCGAGACCTCCAAAGGAGATTAAAATTTGAGCTCCATACTGAAGCACGAGAAAATTAACTTTCTTTCAGTGTGCTGGTGTCCTCTAGCTAATTTTCATGATGTCTTAGGTAGCATACGCATTATAAGTTATGAACTGTATATTTCAAAATTACTTTTTTCCTTATAAATGCAGAAGAAGCAGTTTTGTTACCTCTTCCATTCATTACTCAATACATATAAAGACATGTTGCCAATTTGCACAGCTCAAAACATATAACACTCTGTAAAATCTTTTCTCAGCTACAGTCTTTTTACAAAGCATGGTAGTATTATAACAACCATCAAGCTGGCAGGCTGACACTATTTTTTTTATTCACACACGTATGTAATTGCAGATGGCCATAGGACCTCTGAAGCAGATGGTCTTAGAGCAGTCTATCATCTGGATGTATGTGCCCACCTCTAGGACACTGAAATAGTCATGATAAAAAAAACTAGTCTCTAGGGCTTTATTTATCACTGTGATCACAAATTCTGCTCTCTGAACTGGTACATATAGCAGTCATTGGATGAGAATCAGAAAAAAGCCCAGGAGCAAAGTCCAGAGATCAAGACTCCTCCTTCAAACTGAAGCAGGACTCAGGTGCTCTTCATTTCTCCTCTCCTCTCATCAGACATCACAGCCAGCCGATCCCTTCAGATCCTGAGGGATCTGTGGCTCTGGGTCCCAGGTGTAGGGACAAACACTTTCCTGGCACCATCCAAGCCCCAGAGCTCAGGTAGATGCTCATATTCAGCCCTGTGCTTAGCCTTCCCTGATCCCCAGCACTGCAAAGCTCACTGCTTCACCTCCTCACCTCCTGGGTTTGCCCTCCTGTGGTTTTTCACTGGTCCTGTTAGCTGGGTCAGGAATAAGAGCCTGGAGCTTTGGGGTTGGATTTTGCTCCAAGTGCTTGAGCAAAAAAGCTCAGCAGTGTTTAAGCTTTTTATTACATCTGGTTCTCAACTTCTTTATTAAAAACTACTATTACAATATCCACATAGTGCATATGCATATATGAAATATATATATGGTGACTGACTTATAATGCAAAGGCAAACCAAAATTCAGTGGACCATGCAGACAAATCTGCAGTGCCTAGGCAGTCACATGTCCCACTGCTCAGCTTGGAATCTGGAAAACTGGCCTTTGAAGGAACACATGTTTCAAAAACCAGCAAGCACAAATGACTGGAAACTGATGCTGTGTGTGTCCCTCCCTCCCACCCGCCCAGCTTTGAATACAGACTTGATTTCTGCTTTCCTGACTCTCACTTTGTCCTGGCTGTGTAAAATCAGCAACAGAACATCAGTCCAATACCCTCATCTCAAGTCTGATGACTTGTCTTAAAGGGTAGGAATTATTGTTGCCATGCTAAAACAAACCTAAGAAATGCAGAGCTTGCCCAGTGAAGACAGAACTGCTTCAGCTTTACAGTTTATAATGAACCGGCTTGTTCTGCTGGAATGGGTTAAAAAAATTATGCTTTTTCCCTGAGCAGGGATAAGTTAATCCTGGCTTATTTTCACCTTGGTTTTAGCTCTTCTCTTCCCCACATAGACAATATTCATACTGCCACTGCTTTACATCACACGGTGGAACTTTTACAGCCTCATAAGATACCAAGTGTTCCCTTGTACATAGCATCTCTTATAAGTATTTGTACTGGCAAATATAATAGCAATAAGAGCAGCAAGCTTCAGCTCATCAAGAATTTTTCCTGATAGTTGAGTTCCCAGAGTATGTTTCCCTAAATAATATGTGCATTTCGAACACTGAATTGACTTTCTTGAAGCCACTGACAAGAGTAGGAAGAGATAGCAAGGAACTGAATATTTGCATTGACTTTAACTAGCAATGAACGTACTTTATGTCCAAATATCAAACTCTGTTCTCATTTTAGTACTCATTCTTTTCAGAGGAACTTCAAGATGGCCATAAATGTGGTTCCTGATGGAAAAATTGTCACAAATCAGTTCACAGATATTCACAGAATATTCCGAGTTGAAAGGGACCCCAGAGATCATCGAGTCCAACTCATAAGTGAATGGTCCATGGGGATTGAACCCATGACCCTGGCATTATTAACACCATGCTCTATTACCTCTCATCTCAGCAGGCCCATGAGGTTTGGTTGCAGCCGTGTCTTCCATTGAAAGTATTATGAACTTGCAGAGAAGTGCTAGCAGTGGAGTCGAACCTTCTAGGGATCTGTCTATTTCATTCCAAATTTCACATCAAATTACATGACTCACCTGATAAACCTGAATCAATGCTGAGACTGACCTTTATTGGAAGGAATTTACATGCATTATAGGCCAAGCCAAGCATAGTTTCATTTATTTCACTTACCTACTTTGGTAATCAAGACCTAGTCATATGGCTGAGCCATTAGAAGACAAGGCCTATGGTCTGCAAGAGAGGAGGGAGCACATTTTGTGTTGCAGTCACCTACAAGGAACGTTATTTAAAGTACTAATTCCTGCACTCAGAATAGAAAATATCAGAAATACCGCAT